GAGCCGCCTGTCCTCCAGTTCCAGCCCGTCTCTTCTCTTCTCAAACAGGCCAGATGCTCCTCTGGCATTGGGAGCAGGAGGGGAGGGGGAGTGGCTGGCCTGCTCTGCAGACAGACACTCTGCCCTGTTGGGACCGTGGGAGCACGCGATTGGCCCTGAGAGGGAAGACAAGAATTAGACAGGAAATATCCTTCCTGTCTTGCGGCTGGTCGCAGCCACAGCACAAAATGGCCCAGGGCAGGTGGGCCACAAATATACTCATTGTGGGCCGCATGAAGCCCACGGGCCGCAAGTTTGACATGCTTGATGTAAATGTTTTCAGAACCTCATACAAAATGTAATTAAAAAAAAACAAATATATAAGGCAAAGAGAACTCGAGTAAACACAAAATTAATTTAGTAAAAGATAATTTTATTTATTTAAATCTTCACTTGCTGTCCCTTTGTGTAAAGGGAATCTCCTTTCACTACAGGAATCGTACCCCTCCAGAACCACTCCACTGAGTGATCTTTTGGTGGTAGTACGATCCACTAAGTTCACTTTTTTCTTTCACATTGTGTTTGTGTAGGATTGGGATACCTGCATGCGTGTTTGAGCTGCTGTTCTATTTATATATTATTGTTAAGCGCCTAATTGCACAGAGCACCTTTTTCTTGCCCTCCAGAACCACGTATAAATTATTTTAAAAAATGCAAATTATAGCTGGGACGGAAGAGCCGGTACTACTATCACAGTGCATCGCTGCAGCTGCCTTTCTGTATATGTAAAAATTTCCCTGAGTGGCCCTACACTGCTAACAGCTGCAGGTCAGAGTCTGGAAGGGAGCATTGAGACCTGGTGGTTAAACAACCTGCCCCCTACAACTTGTTTTTTTAACCTCTTCACTACCAAGCAGTTTGCAAAAATAAATCAGACAAATAATGTTCAAATGTTTAATTTTTTTAGTTTGTTTTCGTTTCGGTATGCCTAGATAGCGTATTATTTAATGAAAACAAAAACGAACATTTTCTCTGGACAGACATTACATTTTTTTTAAGTACCAATTAAAGAAGTTACAGATAAGAAAACAGAGTTAAAATAAATAAGAAAAACTTATTATAGTTCTAAATTCTATGTTTTAATCAGTAACATAATAACAATCATCTGTTCTTTAACAGATCTTAAAATTAAGTAAATACAGCCTCAGATGAAAAATGACACATGATATATCTCACCCACCGTGTCATGATTTATTTAACCCCTTCAGGGCGGAGTCAATAGTACATGTTCTGATCAAAACGTAAACAAAAACTGGAATTTGCGCTATATGTCTGTTCAACCGTAATTCACTGCTGTCACATTAAGTGCACCCACACTTATTATATATCATTTTGTTCATGAGAAACAGGGCTTTCATTTAATATCAAACAGAGGCGGCTCTAGACTTTGCAAGGCCTTAGGCGAAAGTCAAACATGAGGCCCCCCATTTACACCATTAGTGAAAAAAATTGCCGCAGCTCCCTATGCCGCTGCGTTGTGAGCACTTTTACTGTAGATATGACATAAATTGCTAATCATTTGTATACGATTGCTGGGTATGGTTGTATAGCCTGACATTTCCCCACATATTCTAAATTCCTTAACATGTATATTATCATATATGTATTTCCCTATGTATTTTATATGTATGTATGTATGTATGCATTCATGCATATATATGTTGCTTGCAACTTTATCTTTGCATTGCCCATATCATACCACAACCACACTGCAGACACACGCACACATTTAAACACTAATACACAAATACATATACACACTGATACATGCACATGCATTTACACACACACACACACACACATTGACTAATACAGACATACAGTCACAATGTGTTTATCTGGCTGTGTGTATTTCTGAATGTGTCTGGCATTGTCTGTCTGTGTATGTGCCTGAGAGTGCGTCTGATAGTGAGTACCCTTGTATGTGAATGTGATGTAGAATTATTAAAATCTTTACTGAACTTGTATTGAATAATTGTACTAACTCCATTTTTAATCTCACACTGTGACAGAACTCTCCATTTTGTTCACCTTACATGACAGTATTCAATATAATGAATAAGAGATTGTATTTTCTCTCTCTAAGGACATAACTAGCCCCGGAGTTAGCGGATCTCCGTTGACTTGCAACATAGTATAATCCAAGGCCAGGAGAACAGCGACTAAATGAAATGTTCTATTCATAAAAGAACCTTGGACCAGACCACGAGACTGACATCACTAACTACGTAAAATGATGCCCAAGCCCCCCCTTTCCACCGAGTAAGCCTCGTGCTAAAGAGCAATGACATCCCATGATGGGAGGGTGCCTCACTAGTCACTCAAATCTCTGAGCCAATTAATAATATTAATGGGTGGACACTGACATAGCCACTTAACATTTAACCCAATTAATGATGTTTATTTGTTATTATCTGATATTCAATGATGATGTCATTTTGCATATAAAAAGGCCTGCGTGCCCGCTTTTTAACTAGATGCTAATAAATTTCCTGAAGTGTTTTTAACCTGAACTGCATGTGTCAGTGTGAACTTACTTCTGCGTATACGCAATTTATTCATCTCAGATTTGGACAGGAACAGATAGACTTTTAAACATTTTTGTTTATTTCTAAATTAATCTACATCAATTTGGCGTCCATCCACGTGGGGCATCGGGCTATGGCCTCCGGCCGGTAAGCCGTCCTAAGGAAGACGCTGTTGGACGGAGGAATCGGGGGGGAAGGAAGAGAGACTGATCACCTCTGAGTACACGGTAGAGACTTCTGCAGGAGCCACCGGTATGTTCCAGCCCCTTTGATTGACCCGTCCACGTGTCTGTGACTGCTTCCCGGGAGGGCATCAAAGACAGGTAATATCTTGCCCGGTGTCTTGTTACCCATTTGTTTACCTGCATTTAGTCTATCTGTTGCCTGGGTGTGCTAGTGGTATATGTTTTGTTCTTTCCCTCTTTTGGGATAAAGGGGGGTGGACCCGTGGGTGGTTGCCTGGGGGTCTTCTGTTGCCTGTTTTTACCCCTTTTTAGGAGTCACTTGGCCCAGACTGTTGGGAAAAAGGGGGGGGTGGACCTGTGGGGATTTTCCAAAGGGGTCCTGTTTTCCTGTTTACTTCTTTTAGGTACTGTCTAGCTAACAGTAGTAAGGAAAAAGAAGGGTTGGGGGATTCTGTGGAGGGGACTTGCCTCCTGGGGTTTCCCGGTTACGTCACTTTGATATTCTAGCTAGCCTCATTGTGTACGTTGCTCTGCTTGCAGAGGTTATGGTACCCTCCAGCTTCGAGCGCTGAGGCTGGTGGCATTCCAATTTATTTGTGGTGTGTGGATTCGGGCAGGCATTGTTGTCTCCATCACCACGGGGTAGTGTGACTTGTGGGTGGGTCTATAGGGAGCACTACGGGAGTGAGGATAGAGGTGGCCACACTTAGTGGACTGCTGTAACGAGGGAGGCATATGGATTTCGGACCGGTGTTAGTCGTTATCCTTGGCCGCTGGTAGTGAAACTTACGAAAGTTGTTCTCCGAGCGGGGACACTACGAGATTGAGGGAGGTGGCCTTGGTGGCCACAAGAGTAAAGGAAAGGGATTACTGTTGATGCATGCACTGTATTTCAATTGAAATGTTGTATTAAATGTTGTTTTAAGTGTGGAGTCATTCAAACTCCTGGGTCTGTCTCTACTTTCACTGTTTACTTTTCCTCTACTTCCTGTACTATTTACACTATCCACTCCTATTTCTCTTGTAAGGGAAGTGATTGGTCACACACTTCTCACCCCGCTCCAATCCGTGGCTACCACCGAGGGTACACGGATTTAGTGACTGGTCTACGTTTTGGGAAGACGCACTGGGAGGGACCCACCCTTCCTAGTGGCAGTCGAGCATTGTAGACGTTCTGTTTCATTTTCCTTTACCTATACTTGGGACGCTCTGTATAGGGGGATATGGGACAGGAAGTGAGTAAGCCCAGTAGGGACTGGCTCGCGTGTGATTTAGTTGAAGATAGAGAAGGTGAAGAGATGATTAAAAATGTTGCAAAGATTGCTAAAGTGTGTAAAATTGCTGTGCCTTCATGTGGTAGATTACAGCCAGAAAGCTGGCGTAGATTACTGACAGAGAAGAAAGGCAAGCTTACAGATAATGATTTATTGCGTACTGCTGAAGCATGGTACAGAGTAGAAAGGCTATCCAGCAGGAGGGTTGGGTAGAGGAAGAGATAAATCATAAAGGTGTAAGACTGTATGTGTATCATAAGAATTGTGTTACTGGGGCATCCTCTCAGCCAACACCCCAAGATGGTGCCCAGGGGATGTCTATTCCCAAGGTTCGGTCAGCAAAAGGCGACAGCCAGCTGACCATGTTCTCCACTCCCGAACCTCCCGTCACCTCCCCTGTCTGCCCAGTCCTGAATTCTGACGGATCCTTTTTCTCCCCTCCATCATCCCTAACACTCCCATCATCCCCATCCATCCCTGCATTGCCTTCTGTGACTAATCTGCCTAGTCTAAATGTTTCATCCACCATTTCTTCTCAACACTCACTCTCCGTTGCTAACCCTCCTACCCCATCTTCTTCCACCCAGTTAGCTAACCCCTCCTCCCTTGCTATTGCCAATCCTATTGCACCCACTTCAGCTACTCCTCCTACACCCGTCTCCACTAATCCCGCTCCGTCTTCCCCGTTACTCACTCCTCCCACAGCCCAAGTCCCCACTCCCCCCCCTAATTCTTACTCAGCTATTATGCCCTCCCTTGGTTCCGCCCTAGCCCCTGCCCAGTTTCCCTGGCCATACCCCTTACCATACCCAATGTCCTCGCCCTACCCAAATTATCCCTACCCCTTTTTCCAAGCCACTCCCCAGACACCGGTCATGCCCAGTCCGGCCCAGTCTGCCCCGGATGTGCCCACATCCAATATGGCCGCCACTTCTTCCCTTAACCCTAACGCAGCCCCTTTCCACACCTCCAATATGGCGGCCCCCAGTCATTCAGCACCCCTGATGCCGGTACTTCCCGGTGACTACTCACCACAGGCTCATAACCTACCCGCCACCCCAGCATCTGGGAATCCCTCATTTCCCCCGGTTCTGACACCTCAGGTTATCCCATCACGTAGAAGGGCCCAAACCACAGATGAGGATGAGAATGATGAGGGTTCCCAGGGCTCACTAGAGCTTGTAGAGTCACAGCCCCACCGTTCCATAGATGATCCTTTCGGGCATGCGGGTCGGGGAAATAGGGGGGACCAGGCCCCTCCTAAATATGTTGCTTTCAATCCAACGCAAGCTAGTGCTTTAATAAAATCGCTCCCTGACCCAGAAAAGCAACCTATGCCTTTTTACCGAGGGATAGTTCAGATTCAAAAGACTTATTCCGCAGCATGGCGTGATTTGCTAAGCATTTGTGCAATCAAGGCCGGGGATGCATATTGGCCCAGCATGTCCCGACACCTCAATGCCGATTTACTGACAAGTGACACTGATTACCCCTCCGGAGTAACTTTTTGCAGCCAGGTAAAGGAGTGGGCAAAAGACAAACTTGCAGATCAGGCTGCCGGCATTACTGATGTTATACAAGAGAAAGGAGAATCAGTGGAAAGATTTCATGCAAGACTGTTTCAAATGTTTACAGATTTGGGCTTTGATCGTACCGACAAGATTCATTCACAAATGCTGTCAGGTGCATTTGTCCAAGGTGTAAAGGATTATATTCGTAAGGGAATCATTGCTGCACGCCCTGAATATAAGGTAGTCTCTCTGGATACCCTACTTTTAGTTGCCAGGGGTCTAGAGTCTGCACAGGCTCCCAAAAAACAGACTTCGGTTTCTTCCTCAGCCCCTCTCATGGTGTCCCGCTTCACCCCTGTCCCAAGAGGTACCAAACCTGAGGATGGTTTCTGTTTCAATTGCAAGGCTAAAGGTCACTTCAAAAATGAGTGCCCGGAACCCAGAAAGGCGCCCAAGCCTGCACCTGCCCATAAGGCCACAGAAACGGTTCCAATTGTTAAGGAACCAGATGATTAGGAAGTTGGCAAGCCTGTGTCATTAACCCCTGTCATGGCAGTGTCTTCAGGGGATAAAGGGGGGGGCCACTTGCCACTGTGACTTTACCCATTGAAGGACGAGAAACCACATTTTTAGTTGACACAGGTGCAGCCCAAAGTGTTCTGAGAGAACAAGACCTGCCAGATGCCTCATTCCTATCAGAAATAGATGTATCTTGTGTTGGAGTGGATGGCCAACCAAGGCACAGTCCTTTAATAACCCCATTGCGAGTTGGCAATTACCCAAACTTGCTTGCTCGATTTGTAGTATCCTCCACATGCCCAATTAACCTGTTAGGTGCTGATGTCCTCTCACGCCTGCAGGCATCTATCACCTTCACCCCAGAAGGTCAAGTAGAATTGTCTACTCCCCTATCTGAATCAGATACCTCAGTTTTGTGCTCCCTACCTCTAGTGCTGCATTTAGATGAACCCCGTGGGGAAGCAAAAGAGCAGAGGTCCAATTTTTCGGATATCATCAAAACAAAGGTACCTGCAAAATTATGGTCCAAAGGCCCAGAAGACATAGGTCATCTGAGAGTTCCACCTGTGGTGGTAAAGCTCATTCCAGGAGCAAAATTACCAAGAAAACCACAATATCCTCTAAAGCCAGCTCAGGCTGCAGCTATTTCAACTCAAATCAAAGCACTTTTGGAGAAAGGTGCTCTTGTGAAGTGTGAATCAAAATGCAACACCCCATTATTTCCTGTGAAGAAGAAAACACCAAAAGGGGAACCAGAGAAGTACAGAATGGTCCAGGACCTCAGAGCTGTCAATGAAGCAACTGTCCTGGACACCCCTATTGTACCAAACCCCCACACTCTGCTATCTGGAGTTCCACCATCTGCAAAATACTTCAGTCATTGACCTGGCTAATGCCTTCTTCAGTGTTCCACTGGATCCGACTTGCCAATACCTGTTTGCTTTCACTCATGAAATGCAACAGTATACATGGACTGTCATGCCCCAAGGGGCACAAAATTCTCCAAGTCAATTTGCTAAAGCCATGTGCTCCATCCTGGACCCATGGCAAACAGACCACCCAGAAGTTGTCCTACTTCAGTATGTGGATGATCTCCTACTTTGTGGGGATGACATACCTACAACAGAAGACTGTTCTATTAGTCTCCTTTGCTACCTAGCAGAACAAGGATGCAAAGCTTCACGTCTCAAGCTGCAATTCTGTCAGCCAACAGTAATCTTTCTTGGACATTGCCTATCTCAAGGCACCTGACATCTCACTCGGGACCGAGTCAGAGCCGTACTGGAGATTCCACCTCCAAGAACCACAAAATCTCTCCATGCTTTTTTAGGCCTCATTTCCTATTGCAGAGCATGGATCCCAGAAGCCTCTCTGCTTATGCAGCCACTCTATGATGCACTCAAGTCAGACCCATTCTGCCTGACAAATGAATCACTGGACAATTTTAAAATTCTGAAACGTACCATTGCATCTGCTCCTGCTCTGGGCCTACCAGACTACACCAAACCCTTCAAATTATTTGTCTCTGAAAGACAAGGCCACGCCACAGGAGTGCTTACCCAAACAAATGAGTTAAGAGGCCACCAAAGGCCTATTGGGTTTTTCTCCTGTCAGCTGGATATCGTGGCCAGAGGGGCCCCTTCATGCCTTAGGGCTGTTTTTGCTGCAAGAGAACTTATTGAGAAAACTGCAGACCTGGTCCTTGGTCATCCTCTGGTCGTATTGGCACCTCATGACATTTCTGCCATTATCAACCAAGTCCAGCTCAAACATATGTCTCCTGCCAGACACCTGTGTTTACAGTGTCACCTCCTGCTACCTGACAACATCACCATACAAAGGTGTCAAGTTCTTAATCCGTCCACTCTTCTTCCACTCCCTGAGGGGGGTATCCACTATGGGTTTATCATGGACGAAACCTATATTTTTCTCCTCACTGGAACCATCAAGAGGATGCATCCTGATTTAACCTTTTATAAAGAACAAAAACCTCTCTGTGAGGGTCCAGGATATGCCTTCTGTACCACATGGTACAAGCCGAACATCTCTCCTGAACCTTGCTATGAAGATGAACTCTATCACTGGGTGGAGGTGAAACTCACGACTTCTATTGTGATTCTGAAGGCAATAGCATGGTCTTGATCGAACTACCTTCAGAACTCAAGTATTTATACCGTCATTGGGATACTGCTATTCCACATGTCCCTGTTACCAAGTTGAAAACAAAATCATGGAATGATCTCGGCCCATGGCGAAATTATGGGCCACCATGGATGACTCGAAGTTACAGGAAAATGGCATTGCCAAATACCCCACAACTGACCTACTTGAAGCATGGCCACGCCATTTCCTGGAAAATGACTTTAAAAGCCTGGTCATAGTAAACAACTATGACCCAGAGACTCCTCACGACTGTTTTGAACAGATGAAAATGGAGACCATACATCTACCAACGGTGCATGAGAATCCATTGACAAATCCTGATTTCACTCTGTTTGTGGATGGTTCAAGATATGCTGATGAAGAAGGAAAATACCACACAGGATATGCCGTAACCACAACAGATGAAGTTATCAAGTCGTCATCTTTACCACCAGCAATGTCTGCGCAAGAAGCTGAATTACAAGCCCTGTCTTCAGCATGCAAAATCTCCGAAGGAAAACGTGCCAACATCTACACAGATTCAAGATATGCCCTAGGTGTGGCACACGACTTCGGCCTCATATGGAAGACAAGAGGATTTCTTACTACTGCCGGCACACCAGTCAAACACAGCTCTGCAATCAAAGAGCTAATGGATGCCCTCCTACTCCCTGAAGAAGTGGACGTATTGAAAGTCAAGGCACATGGAAAGTTGGATACAGATGAAGCAAGGGGCAACCATCTGGCTGATCAGGCTGCT